CGTGCCCCCCCCCCCCCCGCCCCCGCAGCTCCGGTGTCGTGCGGGGGCGCGTCCCGGGGCTGCGGGCGGGATGAGGGGAGCGCAGGAACCGGGAGGAGAGGGGACCCACAGGGAAGAGGGGACCCCAGGGCAGAGAGGGGACCCCGGGGGCTGCTTTGGGTCCTGCCCCTGCTCGCCAGGCTCGGGGTCAGTGTTTGGGAAGTCTGCATGTGAGGTTTGCTAATGAACCCGAGCTCTTCCATGGCCACCGTGTCCCCACGCCGCCTTTGCTCGCCGTTGTGTCTGCCTGGCTGTGCCAGCGCCAGAGAACCCCCCAGTCCTTTGGACACCATGAAGTGCATGCAGAAGGACAAGGGAAATTGCAGCTTCGTGCAGAATTTGCACAAAACACAGTGGGAATCGGTTGCCCCCGTGCATTGGTGTGTGGGAAGGGAGGGTGGCGCGGAGCAGGGGATTGGATGGGGTGGCGGAAGGAGAGCAGAGCCGGGTGTCGGGATGGCACTAGATGGAGAGCAGGATGCTCCAGGGGCCCCTGTGCTGACGGGGCCCATGTGCTCCCATGGGCGCCTTCCCAGTCCTGGAAGTTTTGGCGCTGCCAGTTACCTCGCAAGTAGGATTCGCGCTGGCAGGATCGCGGCTGTGCCCGGCACCCAGCTCTGCTCAGTGCCAGCACGGGGCCCATTGAGCCCCGAGGAGCTTCCAGGAAAAGCCGCCCCACAGCCAGGAGCACCGGAGCGGCTGGGCCGGACTCCGTGCCGGAGCTCGGGGTGCTCGGGAGCACAAGTGGCAACACTGTCCTGGCAGGGCCCTGCGCTCTGCAGCTGCCCGGGGCTGGCAGCAAAGGCCCTTCGCCCCATGGGGCACACGCCAAGTTCAGTGCGCAGGAGGCAGCAGCAAGAAGCAATTGGCTCCAGTCTTTATTTAAGCAAAAAGCCCCCAAAAGGGCTTTTTGCTCCTGGGTTCCCTGTGCGGGGGCTGCCCACGGCCCCGCACCGGCGCAGACATTCACTCCAGGCGCTGCCAACTGCTCCCGCAGCTGCCCCAGCCCCTCAGCAGCTGCTAAGCCTGTAATTGCTCCCGGAGTCATAAATAGGTTTTATTTATTTATTTATTTATGTGCTGAAAGCGGCGCTGTCAGGGAATTAGAACCTGCGCAAGATGCCAGGAGGGTTCGCGCAGGTTTCGAGCGCGGGTCAAGGAGGGTGAGCGGGGGACATCAGCGTGGCCAGGATGGGCCCTGCGGTGGCCGGGGGCAGCACGGGGCGAACGGCACTTTGCAAAGTCAGTGCCAGGCACCCATGGCCTCGTCCCGTCCCCTGCACCGCTCGCGCTGCTGCCACCCCAAGCACAAGAGCACCAGGAAGCCCAAGGCAAGCTTGGAGCGTGTCAAAATCCCAGACTCCGCTGAGCGACAAAATCTAACAGTTTTGCCAACAAAAGCTCGGGACAGACGGTGCGAGTGAGCAAAACATTGGCAAACGGCAGCAAGAAAATGCATGAGCTGGTGTGAAAAAGAAAATGAATTCAGAGCTGTGGTTGCGTTGCAAACGTCTGTGCACTGACACCGGTGCCGTCCCGTGGCCGCAGCCACCGGCTCCTGCTCTGCTGCGGTTGCTGCCATTTGGGGCTGTTGTTCTTCCCTGCTTGTTGCAACTTTTAATTAAAATCTACAGAAGACAAGATAACGAGTCCCGCCGCATAATTGCAGGGAGTAGATTATATTGTAGAGAAAAGTGGCTTTAATTTTTAATGTGCTGTTATTTTTAAGGAAGAGCAGCCCTTTGAAGGGAGCGTCAAACCCCAGCGCTGTCAGCAAAGGAGTAGAGGAACAGGGGCAGGTTCTTTGCCTCTTCCTGGTAAAAACTGCACTAGCTCCAATGGTAGCGGGAGTGAAGCGGCCTGGCCTCAAGCACCTCACGGTTCCGCTTATGGAAGCGAGCTCAAGGCACGCCAGGGACAGGCCTGCACGTCTGCATTAATTATAAATAAATTATCCACAGTTCATGTTCAAACAGACCCCCAGATAAAAACCTTATATTTAGAAGAGCGCTGCACCAGGCATAAATCCTCACGCCTGCAGCGCCGGAGCTCGCGGGGCGACGGGAAGCGCCCGGGGCAGCGGCTCGAGCGC